GAGAAAAAGCTTGAGTATTTGGTGATGGTGGGATGCCAGTCACTTCTTTAGTATCTCCACCTAAGGTAGAGTCCTCCATTGTGTCAAGATCAAGATCGAGAAACGATCTATCTGAGCTAGTTTCTTCTTCAACTGCATCATCGTCTTTTCTAATTAGATCCTTGAACACAGCATTTTCTTGAAAAATGACATTCCTGCTTATAATGCACTTCCTCTCACTTATCAACCACACTTTGTAGCCTTTAACTCCAGGTGGATACCCAAGCATCACCCCTCTCTTTGCTCTTGGACTCAGTTTGCCATCATCTGTATGTATGAATGCAATACATCCAAACCTCCACAAGTAACTGTATACTGGTGGTTTCCAAACCATCTTCTGTCCGGTATGTCGAAGTTAAGAGCTGAAGAAGGGGTCTTGTTAATGAGAACAACTGCAGTATGAGTGGCTTCAGCCCAGAACTTCTTCGACAGTCCTGAATCACTCAGCATTGTCCTCACTTTCTCCATGATTGTACGATTCATACGCTCTGCAACTCCGTTCTGTTGTGGCGTGTAAGCACATGTCTTGTGCCTTTGAATCCCTTTTGATTTACAAAATCCATCAAACAGCTTGTTGCAGAACTCAAGGCCATTATCTGTCCTGAGAGTCTTAATCCTTTTTTCACTTTGATTCTCCACCAGACGTGACCATTCAACAAAGCTTTTAAAAACTTCATCCTTTGTTCTCAGAAAGTAGACCCAAACTTTCTTAGTGTAATCATCGATGAAAGAGATGAAGTATTGGCATCTTCCGAGTGACATTGGTACTGATGGTGCTCTCCACAGATCAGAGTGGACGTATTCAAGCTTCTCCTTGGTATCGTGTTGAGCTAGATTGAAACCCACTCTTCTTGCTCTACCAAAGATACAGTCTTCACATGTATCCATTGCAGACACCTTCTTACCATCTAATAACCCTTTCTTGACCATTGTATTCATGTTCTTTTGGCTCATATGTCCCAACCTTCTATGCCACAATATTGTATCATCTTGTCTTCTCACAACCGAATGTGAATCTTCAACTGCAGGTTTCCAGAGCAGAAGATACAAAGTATCAAACCTCCTCCCTGACAGCAATACTTGATCACCAACTTTGATACTGAGAACTCCATTCTCTGACTCAAACTTGTAGCCAGCTTTTTCAAAGGTCCCCAAAGACAACAGATTACGGTCCATATCTGGGATATACCTTACATTTGTGAGAGAAACCGTTAAGCCTTCTTCGTTCTTGAGCTTGATGGTTCCAACTCCTTTGACTTTAGCCACGGTCTTGTTACCCATTCTGACTGAACCTCTTGCGTCTTCATTTAGGTCTTGAAACCACTCCTCTTTATATGTCATGTGATAGCTACATCCAGTATCCATGATCCACTCATCCTCCAGATGTATATCTGTTGATGACATAACTTCAGATACGTATAGTCCAGTAGCTTCGGCCAAATTTCATTTTCCGTTTGAGGATTCACCCTTGCTGCCTTGCTCTTTGGACTTACTCTGAGCCTTTAATTTGTTAGGACATGAGTTCTTGAAATGTCTCTCTTCTCCACAGATCCAACACCCTCGTTTACTCTTGGATTTGGATCTTGACCGACCAGACTTGTTCCATTTTTCTCTCTGTTCACTTCTTCCTCTAGTTTTGGTTTTTTCTTTTGGCTGTCAGTCGCGTCGGGTCTGCCGCTCAGTTGAAAGCTATGAAACAACTACATCAGGACCCTTCCTACATTGCACGAAAGCCATTACTTTACGTTCAGCTAGCACTAAAAAGGCTACTCCTAGATCCGAACATAGGGCTAATTTATTTGTTTGCCACATAGAGGCCCTCAGCTTGACCCTTGAGACTCTTCTTTGCTGACCCAAACTCAAGCTCCTTTGAGTATATGGCCGCTATGACCTCATCCAGGGTCAAAACTTGTTTCCCAGTACTGTACTTAAGAGTATCTCTCAGCTGGTCAAACTGCTTCGGAAGTGACATTAACAAGAGAATGGCTTGATCTTCATCAGACACCAACACCTCTGTGTTCTCGAGATCTTCTATGAGATGAAGGAAGTCATCAATGTTTCCTTCAATAGACAGATTCTCAGCCATTTTGAAACTGTAAAGTTTATGCTTCAGATAGATTCGGTTTGGAACGGTTTTTGACATGTACAATTTGTCTAAAGCGGCCAACATAGAAGCTGCAGTCTTCTTCTTTTTGACTTTCCTTAGAACCCTATCTGTCAGGCTCAAGACAATAGTACTTCGAGCCTTTTTCATCTTTTCAAGCTTCTCCTGCTCATCTTTACCGTCGTCTTCTTTCTCCTTTCCTTCTTTTGAAACTCCAGATTCTTTGAGAGCTATGCTCAGACCAAGAATGTCAAGATGAGCTTCAAGCTTTTCCTTCCACATCGTGTACTCTCCTCGTCCATCAAACTTTTCCACCTCTACTCTTACTAAAGACATGGTTCTCGCTTTATGTTAGTAGCGATGAACCAAAGACGCAACCTTTGCTCTGATACCACTCTGTTAGGACTCAGAGGCCCAAAGATGTCGACTTTTCTTGGACTTGATACACAACAAACCAAGATATAGATGTAAGACTCAAGGACGAAACAGAGGAAGACCAAGAACACAGTGTTCACAAGGAATAAGAGACGTTGAACAAGATATTTGCAGAGAAATATGAAAGAGCAGAAAAGACAGGAGCACACACCAAGATTTAACGAGTTCACGGTATTAAACAACCGCTATGTCTCGCCGATACTTGCCTCGGAATCCATTAGATAAAGTGAGTAGCTTTATACAACAAGATTAAACAAGAGTCCTGCCTAATGCCCTTCACTAGCACTTAGACACTCTTCGAATCAATCTTGTACCAAGAAAACAACATCAAAGCTTATGCTAAGCTTATGCTAAACAAGTTTTCTCTAATCTATGAAACTCTCTTCTAACACTCAAGTCTTTCTTACCACTCTCTCTCTCTCTTCCACACTCGCTTTATAGCTGCTTCGAATTAGGACTTCACACTTGACTCAACTGCAAAACGCTAACCTTCTCAAACGCCAAACGCCAAGGCTGAGACTCGGTTTCTTCGTGTTGCAGGCCATAGCACGAGACTTACTGCGTTAGTATACACCAGACAATAAATCTTTAAAGAGTTTGGCAAACTTTGTGTCTTCCCTTTTTAAGCAGTTGCCAATTTCCAAAGCAAACCCAAAAGCAAACTTACTGCAGTTTGAAATATAATCGTTGCAGGTAAGTTTCTTTGTTACCGCTGAGTTAAATAAACAAATTTACTGACTTGTTCATCATATCCTTTGTCTTCACAGGTATGACTAAAGGATTTGAAGTATGGTTTTATATGGATTGTTTTGTATAACACTAATACAAAGGGCTCTATACTACGCTATCAGCAATCTGAAAGAAAACAAGAATCGGATATCTCAATATTCAAAGTCCGATTAATAAGAATTAAAAAAATCGAAAGTCCTACCTACTACCGTGTTAGTATGTCATGATCACAGGACGTTCATTATATCAATAAAGAATAAGTAAAATAGTGTTATAGATGTAACATATTACCTTTGGCACCTAAATGAATTGTAACATAAATAAATGGAAACTAGAAATGAGTTGCACATCCTTTCGGTGGGTTGCTCGAGATGAGATTCACAATTAATGATTCGGTACATTTTTTATTCGTGCATATGATAAGTACAAGAACAAACGTACTTATTTTTACTTATTATTACTTTTACTCCAAAGATCGTTTTAATTTGTTCGGTGATTTTAAGAACGAAATGAAAGCCAGAATTCACCTAATTGTACTTGGAGAAGCTTGAGCGAATTTATAGTGCGTTTCTATAGTAAAATCATAAAGGTAAAACCCAAAGAAACATGATGTCTCGTGAAAATACTTTTCAACTGTATGGTGACAAAATTCCATAGATTTTTTTTTAAAAACAAGAGTTATTGTTTTCGCTAAACATACGCCGTAAAAAAGCATTTAGACACGAAGACTTTGTAAGTTTGACTTTTGATCCACATTCACTATACTTTCAAAACGAAGTCACGAACGTGTTAGATAGTACATGGTCGGGAAAAAAGTTCATATGACCGTAAATAACACTAAATGAAAAGTTTACGCACCCTAAATCATAATTGAATTTCACACACAAAAAGTGGCAATTTTTTTTTGTTTTCTACATCTTCATTTTAGTTTAGCTTACTGTATTTTTTTGTCTACATTGATAAATTTTTATCTGTAAAATGTATATGCGATTGATTTCAGGAATCCTTATAAAGAGTGGTCTAAAATTCTTATATAGTAAATTACATATCTATATATTAGTGAGTTTCCAAGATTTCTGTTTAAAAATGAGTTTCCAATATATTTTCTCAAGATATGTTTTCCATTCATTTTTCTTAAACCAATTTTAATTTCGATATACACATAAACTAACAACGATGTAGATATGCCGAGGCAGAAATTGTTTAATCTTAACGTCCCAATCATATATATTTTATTGAACGATGGTATACTGGTGATGTACAAGTAAAATGGACAACTTTGCTAGCTTAACTCTTTATCAACCAACCATGTAGTGTCTATTTACAATTCCATTTTAAAACTTCCTCATCGGTCCATTTTTGTGTGCTGCTTTGTCTTCTAGTCAACTTGGAAAATCTCTTTTAATTATGGTTCAATTATGGTTCCCTTGTTGGGTTCTAATCGGTTGCTACTAATGTTTATAAACAATCTGGGCCTGGCTGGCTTAGTATATTTTTTAATTTGTCAGGGAAATTTCATTAAACTATATTAACTGTTACAGGGAAATTTGTATAAAATCTGATCCTCTTTAAACACGTCTTGTAATTAAATTATACACCGTTACTTGGGCCGATGATACTAAAACATTAAAGGGCTTTGCTATAATTGCAATTGCTCCTTAAAAAACGTCTCAAAAGTCAGATTCATCTCTTTAATTACAAAAGCACAAAGGCCTTGCTCTTATCCTAACGTTTGGTCTTCTACTCTTCCCTTTCGTCTCCGCGATTTGAGAGAGAAGATGAGACGAATGCGAGAACAACGACACCATTTTTAAAAGAAGAAGAGTCTCCTCTCAAAGGCATCTTGTGTTCTGAAAACCAGACAAGACATGAAGACATTCGAGGAAACAGAGGACTGTTTCATCCTCGATTTCGATCCTTTTGATTCGTTCGACATCAAACAACTCTCTCTTTCTGATGAAAAAGATTTAGCCATCATCCATGAGACTGGACAGGTTTTTGTTAAAAAAAATCTAGGGTTTGATTAGGATTTTTTTGGCAGCAGTTTGATTAGGGTTTATCTCCACCGTTTTTTTTCTTCTTTTAGTAATGAAAGTCTGATACTATGGTTGAGCAGGTGGCTTGTAGAGATTACCCACATCCAAGACATCTTTGCTTGAACTTTCCTTTTGGATCAACTCCTAATGCAACCCACTGTAATCTGGTAATTTCATACATATAGCTCACTTCTCTCATGGATTAGCTTGGTGTACTTTAGTGTTGCAATATTAATTAAATCTCCTATGGAACTGTTTTTGTATAGCTCTTGGATATCAAAATTGTTTCTAACAGCAAAAACCAACATATGCAGTGTTACTGTTACGTCTGCGATAAGCCTGTTCCTTGTGCACAGTGGATGTCTTCGCATTGTAATGCTTCGGCGGAGTCTATGCAGCGGAAAGTTACTATGACTCCTGAGAGTGAGAGCTTTTACTATGACTGCGATTACGATCATCTTTGACTTGACTAGTAGATCAACGTAACTAGCTTTGGAAGAGTATGTAATGACAATGCGTAACTAAGTTTGAGATTGTTATTTAAGTGCTTTGTTAATCTTCAAAATGCATTTGCTTAGCTGGATTGTTGCGTGTTGAAATATTTCGGCGTAGACCTGGGACGAGGCTCGATTTCGAAGTTTGGAAGAAAGTAGAAAACAAAACGATTTAGTGTCCTTTGAGATTGTTATTTATGTGCTTTGTTAATCTTCGAAATGCATTTTCTTAGCTCTTTTTTTTGGTCAATGGACACTAAAATCTTTTCTTGTATTCTTAAAATCTTAAATCAATTAAAATCTGAAACACGAGAAATAAACAGAGAAATGAGTTTTTTTTGTTCTCTTGGTTTTATTAAATTCTTAATAAGCAACAAACATATCATAGTCAACACTGGACTGGACCAAGCAACGAGTACGACAAAGGTGACGAAGTAGAAGTAGACAAGAGCATACTTATTTAGCATTAAGAGAATAAGAGGGAATTTAACTTCAGATCTACTTGAGAAACTCCACGATGTAAACACCAAAGGCTTTGCAGAAAACTTGGATCTCTTGGAAGCCAGACTCTCTCGCTAGTGCCTCTAACTCTTTCTTGGTCCGTTCTTTGCCTCCGAGGTTGTGAGCCATCATAATACAGTCTATATGGACGACATGTTTAGTCAGGAGACTTGAGTCTGGGATATCTGGAGCTATACATTCTGCTAATATCACTTTTCCCTTATCTGGAAGCGCCTTGTGGCAGTTCTTCAACAATTTCACGCAGTGTTCATCGCTCCAATTATGGCATACCCCCTGCCACAACAAGTAAATAAATAAAATTTATTAACGATTATTTTTGTTTTTGGTCCAAATGATCCGGCCAAAAAAAAAACATCAAAGTGAGTTTAAAGTTTAATAATTTACAAACCTTCATGAAAATGGCATCTCCCTTGGGGACATTTACAAACATATCTCCACCAACATGCTCAATACCTGCATTGCTCAATAATAAGCCAATCTCTCAATTAAATCTAAAAATTTTTGATCTGAAATGGCATAAAAAATATAATATACTACCGGGATAAGGAGGAGCATCTTCGATAACATGTGGCTGATCAAAGTTGATGCCTTTAATGTTTGGGTACTTAGACACAATCATTTTGAGAGTGGCACCAAATCCACCACCAACATCAACCAAAGAAGTCAAGCCCTCGAAACCCTTATAGGTCTCAAGAATCTTCTTCATTGTGATGGTTGTTAGGTTAGCCATTCCGTTGTTGAAGATCTTGTTGAATCTAGTATCAGTCTCTTGGTACTCGAAACAGCCCATTCCATAAGCCTTGTTGAATGGGATCCCACCTTCAAGAATTGCATCTGTCATATAGTACCTGCACATCTCATATATATATATTTGGTAGTGAGCCAAAAGAAAAGAAAATGTGTCTAACATGTGCAACGGGGTCTCATATGGGTCTCTAGCATTCATTGCACATGCTCTTAGGTTCCAGGTGAAATTCGTTGGTTTAGTCGATTTTTTTTTCCACTTTTTCCTTTAATACATCCAACACATATTACACATTAAATGTTTTATTTTTTAATTCTTTCTTTACCTTAATTTATTCTTCTTCTCCTTCCTTATAATTTTCTAATAAATTATTCATACTAAAATACTTGTTTTTAATCAATTAAATTTATATTAAAAGGTTGAAAAATCTTTTTTTTTTTTATTTACCAGCTTTCCATGCCGACCTTGTCTTGGTTCACAAGACAAAGAGCAGCGATGGAGACGCCGTCTTCGTTCTTGGTCAAATACTTGCAAACGGGACCGAGCCCGTAAAGCCGTTCAACGCCGTCGCCGTCAGGGAGTGTACGGAGGGAGCAGGTGAGGATGGAGTAAGCCGCAAGAAGCCGGAGGATACGGTCGAGCATGACCGGAGCTTCAGGGTTTTTGGTCGGGAGATGGGAAGCGACCTCAGAGGGAGACATGGGAGAAGAGTTCTTGGCCATGATCTCGAGAATTCCGAGCTCTATAACCGGTTTTAAAGCCATCGGAATAACAGGGGCATGGGCTAGCTGCATGGCGAAGAGGGCAGTTTCGTCGTCATCGGTAACTTGCACCGGAGTTATCTGCGTCTCAGCCATCGTTCCCATTCCCTCTTTGAGTATTTTCTTATTGAACTTTTTGGTTTCTAGATCTGTGTGATGGGTGAGAAGGGAGGAAGATGAGAGGTTCATTTATTGGAAAAATAGGAGACCGGCCGGCCCCAATAAACTCAAGCCTTTAAAAGAATTATGAAGAAGAGAAAAAAAAAATTATGAAGAAGAGATCGCATGCAGTGGCCCAAGAAAATCAAATGTATTCCTGATCAGATAATAAACCCAAACAAATTATGACTAAATTAGCTTTGATATCTCCATCTATGAAGACATTTTCATTTTGCTCAACAATAATATATTTCGATAACAGAATGAATTTACAGTCTACTACCGCAAAAGTTATATATTTTGCCAGCAGTTTTTCTCTAAAGATAGGAAATTTTTATGACCAATTTTCTATGCAATTTTGACGAAAAGTAAAAGTGATAGGAAATTGGTAGGAAATTTCCTACCAAATATTTTGTCAAAATTTCATAGGATATTTCCTACCAATAACTTATCACGTGGTCAAAATTTAAAAGGAAAGTGGTAAGGCCAATGGCGGGTAAGTATTTCATAGAAAATTTCCTACCAATTTTTGACGACAAATTATGTGTAAGAAAATCGTAGGAATTTGGTAGGAAATTTTCAAATGTGGGACAAATAATAAAGAAGCTGCTCTATAAATAAGACATTCATCTTCTTTTTAATTAATTTGTTTTTTTTATATATAATATATATATAGTATCTCTATATATAGTAATAATTGAATTAATAATTAATTCATTTTTTAGTTTAAATTTAATTTAATTTTTAATTTTAAAAAATAATTATTTTTTTTACAAAATCTGGCAAATGGTAGAAAAATAGTAGGAATATTTGAAATTGGAAAGAATGAAACTGAAGGAAGATGGAAGTAATTTCGTAGGTACTTTCCTACGAATATCCTAACGCAAAAATTTTCCTACCAAAATTTTCGTAGAAAATTTCTTACGATTTTTTACCTTTTAAAATTTCCGACGGCATAAAACTTACAAAAATATTTGGTAGGAAATTGGTAGGAAAAGCCAATTTCCTACAATTTTCTGATGAAATATATAGTAGAAATATGTGATGTTTTCTTGTAGTAGTGTAATAAAATAATTATTTTGTTTATCATTAGCCTTCGATCAAAAAAAAATGTCAATCATTAGCCGGGAAAACAAATATGCTACGAAGCACAGAATTTTATAAGAACTCTAAAGAATGTTCAAATTCTCTCATTAAGTCCTTTTTCAATACCAAACTATTTCAGAGAATATACATTTGTTAACTCGGCGATAATACTTATTTTAATGATATAGCTAATAGACGAATCGAATTTCGTTAAATAATGCTCAATTTCTATTTTTATAAATTAAACAAATCGCCATAGAAACAGCGACACGCGATCGAAAATGGCAATATGCAGAGATTAAAAGAGAGAAAACAAAGAAAATAACAATTTTTACCAAAAAAAAAATAAATAAAAAAAAATAACAAGAGACCAAAACGGCAAAACCACCTGTCCGCAGAAAGATAACCCTTTTCGACAAGTGGCAAACCCTAACATGCTCGACAACACTTAGAGCAGGTCACAAGTTTTTAGGAATTTTGGGTTAAAAATAAAAGAAAAAAAAGATACTGAAGGATCGGTTCATCAGATCGACTTTGATAACCCCGTATCCGTACCACATGGCGAAAATGTATTGGGCGAGAATGAATGGTAATTTTGCGGTGAAAAAAAATTTTCAAGGGGAAAAATTCTTTTTTTCTTTCCCGAGTCTTTCTTTCTCTCTTCCTCTTCTCCGGCGCTGAATCCGTCGCAATCCGGAGATGTAATCCGGTGAATTCTCTCGCTCTTTTTGATAACAATCGATATTGGTTTGGAGGATTTGCAGTGGGTTTGGTATTGATTGGTATTGTATTTCGTTTTCCTGTGTTTGTAGATTCTTATGAGTAGATGCGTTATCTCTTTTGTTAACAATGGCTAATGTCACCGCATACTCGGATGTGCTTGTGGTGAATATGGTTGGTGGCCTTGTCACTGGAGCAGTGGCCGAACGATTAGGAGGTATAGAGCTTTTCTTGATACAATCTCTGCTGCATTTAGGATTTGCTGTTGATTATTTATGCAACAATGTCCCTTGCTATTGTGTGCATTATATGTAAATTCCTATTTAACAGGCACTGGTTATATTTGCAATACATACAAGGGAAATTATCCTTCTCCTGTGGAAATGGTTAGGATGTTCAACTTTAATGACAAGGTTATAGAGAGGTATGTTCGATTTTCTCCTAGTCTTTTTTGTCTCTGTAGATTGTTATTGAAGCCGTTCTGTGTGTAAAATATATTTGTAATTGACCCTTTCTGTGTGCAGGATCGTGCAGTCATCTATAAACGAGCTCTCATCAGCCAAAACTGTATCTCCTGAAGAAAACAATAAACAAGAAAGAGTTTATAACGCTGAGATTAATATCAATGCAAGTTGCCAACCTGTACCGTTTCACCTTAGTCTTAATATGAGAACTCTTTTGGTTATAACAGAAGGTTTTTATTTGAAAATTACAGGAACCATCTACATCTGATGTTGTAGAAGAGAAATCTGTGATATCTGAGGCTATGGTAGTAGATATTGTTGCCCCAGAGACCAAAATCATCAAGGCCCCAAAAGCTGGAGCCAAGGCTTCGAAAGAAGCAATAGAAATGTGGCAAGAAAACGGTTTCTCTAGGTAAGTAAATGTAAGTGTTTCTCTGAATGAAATTAGTTTCGGTTAATAAATGCCTGAAACTTGTCTGTTTGATTTGCAGTCTAATCATGGCTGCACAAGACCAAGACCCATGGAGCTTAGCTAAAGATGTATTGCCTCTGCTCTCTTGCCGCTGGCGACATGTATGCACAACCTTCAGCAGGGGAAGATGGCGATCAATCTGCAAATAACAGAACCATGACTACGTGAATATCAGGTCTGATCAAATTTTCTTTTCTTTTGTTTCCCAATATATTATTCGATCAACAGGTGCTGATATATTAAAATGCAGGTGCTTCCTTCAAGAACTCACCCTCACATGCAAATGAGTTCTTTTGGAGGCTATGTTCTGAGCGGCATCAGAATCTCTACCACTTGATTCTTGTTTGCAAACCTCATGATTCTTATAGTTCTCAATAACTGAGGTTTGATGTTTGATCTTTCCTTTCAGAAAGGTCTTTGTATTTGTATGTTGTTAAGATAGAGGGCTGAGATTATAGGAAAACTTTCATGTTGATCTTTTCAATCTAATCTATATAGTTTATTGATTAATGATCGTTATGGTTTATTGCAAATTGTACAAAATCTTAGAAAGTAGAAATCTTTATGAAATTCACTAACCTAAATGAAAATATCATCATCATTACCATTGGCTCAGTTTCATAAAGATTATGAAACATTAAATTTACACAATATATATTTTCAATAATAATTTTTTTTTTGGTGATGAACTCCATTTTCAGGTTCAGTAATGGAACCCAAAAATTGATCTAGGTTCTTCCCAAACCTTTTAAAAAAAAATTTAATTTTTTAATCTGATGAACCTCATATACAGGTTTAGTTTGCATTCTCAGTTTCTCACTGCACCTACATACTTACATAGGACATAACGTCTTCTATATTATCATCTTTCTAGTCATCCAAAACTCACGTTTTGTAACCGTACTACTTTTGGTGAAGAAATTGGACAAATGCAACTTTTTATGGCTGTTGTATTTCTGAGTTAAAGATAAAATGTAACCAAGAGTTTTGGTGGTGGCCTAAACGAGAACGTACACATGCAATAAGTCATTATCTTACCTCATGAACAACACAATTTTTGGTTACTATGCTTAATAATCCTCGATCGTGATTTTTTATAAACGTTATATTACGTCAGATATTATATTATACAAGATATCACAACAGTCATACCGATTATTTTCAGTAAATCTTTTGTGTTTAAAAGGCTCAGATAAAACTTTAGGAAATCAAGGTAATCTCTAGACTCTACATAAGACTCTGATCGTCTATATATAGCAAGAGGATATCTTCAATATATATGGCAGGAAGATTTTATCAATATATATGGCAAGAGGATTTTTTTCAATTCATGTGTGGGATCGTGTAATCTGTTTTCATCAATGCAATCCCCGATTGGTCAACATGAAATGTAACCGCGACTTTAGAGTACATACAAAATATGTTTAGTATTGTAATTGAAAATAGTGCACTATACACATACCGACTTAGCTGCCACAATCCAAAAGCAATTTATTTTTTCTATTCGGTCAAGATCTCTTCCAACATTATATTCTATATTTTCCATCTTGATATATAAATATTTTAGTTTTATTAAACCTGTTCAACAAGCCCGCGGTCCAACCAAAATGGTGCTCCAAGAAAAAAAAATGTGGCCATTTGTAAACTCTAAATTTTAAAAAACAATGAATGTGTGGACCATCAAAAACTATAAAAATTGAGGCCCTAGGCGATGACCTAGCCTGCCCGAGTCTGCTGTTCACTAAAAACACATGTCGAATTATCTTGAAGTATAGTTAATAATGTTGTTATTAATGTATAGAAATTTTGTCAGCTTTACCTTACAGTAATTTACTATTTTAATAAAGTTTATGTTTTCCGTCTACATATGATAATACGATCCTTTTTGTTAAAGATGATTATTGATGCAAATTTAACGGAAAGCTCGTCTGCAAGAGCAACTAGCAATGGTTGTATCAATTATAATTATTATGGGTAGGTATTGATCATGCATGTAGATAGCCTTTCAATAAATTTCTTTCAATTCAACAATAATTCACTATCCCCCTTACTGGGTCCGCTTCTGGGTAGGTATTGATCCTGCAAGTAGCTAGATAGACTTTTCAGTAAATTTCTTTCAATTCAACAATGTGTATTGCATCATTTTTTAATTGCATCATAAAAATAAATGATATTATTTTGCTTCATTCATTAATAATTGATATAAAAAATATAATTTAACATCAGTCATATAATTGATTTTATTATTAGTTATTTTAATAGCAATTCAATAATAAATAATATAAAATTTCATTAATTTGGATTATTTTATGAAAAAAATTACAAAATATTAATGCACTCACTTAGATAATTGATGTAACTATTTTTAATTTTTGCTAATATTATTTAAAAATTATACAAAAATATATCAATAAAAATGATGTTAGTAAATTTTTAGTTATCTTTGATATTTGTTCTACATCAACAACTAAGAGAGAAAGCGAAAAGTTTTGTTTTTTTTTATTCAACAATCTAAATATTTAGAATGGTTCGACAAACCAAACCAATAGTACTAAGTTTACATAAATAATATCATAAAGGTAGACTCGAGCAATTCTTGCTAGATTGTCTGCTTTCAAATTTTTTGTACGTGGGATATACGATATTGAATAACTAATAAAAAATTAATAAAAAAATTATATATTTTCAAAAAATCAATATTGATGTGTTATATATATGTAAAAATTTAAAATTATTTATAAAATAATTCATAAATTAATACTAAAATAATTTATAATTATTATATATATTTTAAAATCAATAATTATCATTATTAATATTAATTGATGCAAGATTTTTAAATTTTTTGCAACCGACACAAATTAACATTGACTATCATAACTGATGCAATATTTACATTATTTACTTAAACTAATGCAAATATTTACATTAGTTGTTTAATTGATGTAAAATACTTACAGTGGCGGACATGTCAAATTTATATTTTATTATTTTGGTAATAGTATTCGAAGATAACAGCTTATTTGGTTCATCCAACCTTTTTAAACATTTTACTTTAGGTTTGAATCCTGAGATAACATTAATTTTTTTAATATGTTTGCACCCTTTTAAAATTAATCTTGGATCTGCTACTATGCACAATTGATGTAAATATTTGAATAACCATTTTCAGAATCATTAAAAATTAATTTAAATATATAAGGTACATGATGTGAAACCCATTTTTTGGTAGTTGTAGGTTGTAAACTTGTACTAATCATATAAGAGAGAAACGATGCAATCGAATTGATGATACTAAAGTAAAACCCACTCCACGTCTACAAATGCACCTATAATATGACTGTATGAATATACGTTTTTACTTTTTACTTATAAATATTTTTAAATATATAAGACAAGTCGAAGTCTCAAGTTGAGATAAGATGTAAAATATTTTTTTTTCTGTGTAAAGAAAAATATTTGTGAAGGAATAGTTAGAAACTTAGAGTATCTCCATTGGTGAGAAACTCTAAAAAATATCTTAAATAAAAAATATTAATATTTAATTAAAATTTTATTATTTCATTAAATTTCAATTTAAAAAGCAAATTTGAATCATTTTAAAAATGACACAAGTGTTTTAGAGTTTTCATTGGGTTTCTATAAGTTTTCGTTTGAAAAACCTATCTCATTCTCTCTTTTTTTTCTATTATCTTTTTTTTATATATAATAAGAGATTTTGATGAGAACCTCTCAATGGAAGTGGTCGAACGTATTAAATATTTAAGTTAATTGTAATAAAATTGGGAATTTTGATAACACACGCCAGCTGAATGGCTGATGCCATGACACGTCTTGCGAACGCAAAAATCTCGAGTAAACTTTTGTTTTCATGCTGCTGCATCAGTATTTTAGTCTTTCTCTACTATTTTTTTTTTTAAGAACTGGAAAATGACTTTCGAAGTAAATTTTCTTTCAGATAAATTTACAAGATGGAATATCCAAAATTCTGTAGTTTAACAAAAAAAAAATAGGTCTACACGATTGTACAGAAAGTTTTCTATTGATTTATATACGAGTTTAAAATCTTAGCACTTATTAGTGTTCGTTTTTTGTTTTCTATTATGGTAGATTCCAAACTGTTTTAAATCTACGGCTTAGAATTTGCTGTCGAAATTTTGTCTTAAGATTGGGCGTTTTTACATAGAGATATTATCATATATGAACCAGTCAAAAGACACAGTTCACCATATTAGAAATCTCTAGAGATCTCTAGATTTTCTCCACTCTTTAAATTTCAACTTTGTTGTAGAGTTCTCCTCATTATTTTATCAACTCTTTCAAGCTATATTCATTTAATTTGAAAGCCATTTATCCCAAAAAAAAAAGGCACGATCAATCCTAAACCTTTCTTTATAAATTTGTTGTCTCTTAAACGCCATGCACTTTGGCGTTTTTGGTCTCATCCATAAAAATTCCAACCAACTCTGTCTCTAACCTCTATATTATATGGTTTGTATATAAACATGTATTATATATATATTATGCATCAATAATTGGAAAATTTTAGAATAAGGATTGTAAAGTTGCTATATGGTGGTAAGACAGGAAGGAATTACTTGCCTAGCATCATATAGACAACGATACACTTTTTTCTTTCAAATCCCACAAAACAACATACAAAGTACAAACCAAATACGTCGTCATTTAGCAAATGACTCCACGTGTGCATGTAGATATGTAGTCTTCGATTTACTAGTAATAGTTTGTAAAATATTTAAAAGTTTGAGTTATGACCATTAATCTGCGAGCTTCGCCAAAATAGAATTTTTCCCTACGGTTTGGATCTACAAAATTTAAATTAATAACGACAACTGATGAATGTTTGCACATACATTCATGTTTCGCTCACACCAATCAACTTCAATGATTTTAAATCGTTTAGCTTGGCTTGTTTCATACGTAAATATAATTATATATTTTCAAATTATAAAAAACCAAATGGTAACATCATATACAAGTGATGTACGCTCATTAATTATATTTGCATTTCACATTCGAACAAAAAAGATCATATATGATTTACAGATACACTTTTTTTTTGCTTCGTAAAATGCGTGGTATATATAATGTAATTGCAAGGATTCTATAGATTCAATTACAAATTATTTAAAGTGTGAATTAAATATATTTATACATATATTTTTTTTTGGGTCAAGTGTGAATTAATTATATAAAATGTGAAACTGTGTTACGAAATCCAAAAGTATAATTCCGGCAAAAAAGAAAACGAAGATACAAAAAGATCGCGCTTTTGACATTTGCTCACAAAGTTGAAAACTTAGCGAAACGAAATACTCGCACAATTACAAGAATTTTCAATTTAGCGTCATTTGATTTAGTAGTAAACATAATTTCCCACAATTTCATTATTTTTTTGGTAACTTTGGAATAAGTGTACATAGTAGAATTAGTTAATAGTA